TCTCTGGTCCAGGGCTCTGGGGCCTGAGAAACTATGGGCAGGATTTTATCCTGTTGTCCAGGGAAAAGGGGAATCCCTGATGGCTTTCTGTTACGGTCATGTGAAACAAACCATGGGCAGAGAATCAGTGGTCTGCTCTTGCTAAGGAACAGCATTCTAAAGAATTCTGGCTTATCACAGCACAACAACCAAGCCACTAGAGGATGTCTCACCCTCTCTGCTAGCATTGAAAAATACACAGCATGGATCAGCTAAAGTTAATTGTTTAAATACTAATTGTTTGAAGAGCTAAGCATACAATACACTCTTCCACTTAGGGTATGACCTTCCATATGTTTAGAAAGGAAAAAGTCCTACAATTCCCCATGTTGGGGATTGGAGGTCTTTTTTCTATTTTAACATGCATATGTTTCTGCCCTTGGACCAGCTTAACTTGACTGTATCATTCCCACAGAGCTTTGCTGAAGACTCAGTCCAAGCCCTGAAGCAAAACCAATTTTACTGCCTTCTAACTGCAGGTCTGATGCTGTTCCTGCTATCCCACACTACAAATAAAAAGACAACAAACATGATCTAGGGATTTTGAATAAAGCAGATTACCCAGAATCAAATAATTATCCACTGGCATATGATCTCCATAACCTTCCTGTGTGAATTGTGATAATGCACAAATTTAAAGCCCAGAACACTAATTATGCAGCAAATCTTGTCTTTTCATAGGTAGATAATTTAAGCAGCAGTCTTCCTGAAGTCAACCCTATGTGAAGGATAGACATCTTTCCCATTCCCTACAGACAAGCCATACTATTTTGAAGTGTGTATGCGTGTGCACACACACACAAGTCCTCATCCCTCTTGCAAAATGATTTATTGCTGTCAGATTGTAATCTAATTTTAGGTGAGCTCATCTTTTGTTCCTGCCTTGGAGCCATTTTAACTTGATATTGCTCTCCTACCACAGCTGTATGAAAATACATAGTCCCTCACACATTAAGGATGCTATACTGACATTTTGCTTCAGCTGTAGAAGTCATCAATATTGTTCTACTCATAAGCAGACTTTTTCTGAGCAAAACAAAACAAATTGCCTGTATCAGAGCTTGCCTTGACCTCTGTATCCCACAGTGGGAAAAAACGATCTGCTCTCACAAGCTTGCAAGAGAGAGAAGCACTTTCAAGACTGCAATAAGCAGATGAACTTTCTTTTTGTAATACAGTGTTCAAGCTCCTAAGGCTCAGAAAGGCTCTTGCATTGCATTTGCTATTCTGCTGATAGGCACTGCTTTCATTCCCATGGGTTTCACCATACTGCTTCATTTTTCAAATTCCCAGCATCCCTCAACAAGAACAAGTGCGACCAAATCTTCTGGGAAGCTGCTTGAGGAAGTGTCATCAATCAACACAGTTCCACAATTACCTCCTCCTATGTAAGAGATCGCTAGAGCAGCCTCCCCCAACCTGGTGGTCCTCAGACACATTTGGACTGCAACACCCAGAATTCTTAGGGGCAACACTGGGAATTCTGGGTGTTGTAGTCCAAACGTGCCTGGAAGGAATAAGGTTGGGGAAGGCTGTGCTGGAGTGTTTGTCTGGGTGCTTTGGGCTGAAAGCTCACTGGGTGACTTTGGGTCAGGTTAACCTACCACACAGGGTTGTTTTGAGGATGAGGTGAAGAGGATTATGTAAGCACTGCCCTGGCCTCCACTCAATGGGGAAAAAAGATGGGATATAATTGTAACAAATACTAAATAAAACAGTATGCCTCAAACTGTCCACAATGCCTCTGATGTTGCTGCTTTGCTTCTGTTCTGCTCATTTTTTCGGCTTAATTCTGACAGGCTTGCACAGGTCTCTGTATGCACAAACATGTCATCAAAAACCCTTTACCCATTCTTTGTAGCTTTCATAAACCACACCATGTTGATATAGTTCATTATAATGGCTTGGTTTTACCAAGATAGCTTTTCATGCACAAAGGAAACGAACCCTCAAAGAATTCTCCTCCAAAGGTATAAACCAGGACTTCCAGACTCCTCTTAATCTGTCTAACATTTTATTAATGCAAATAGGGACATAATCCTATGTTCCCCAGCCGTTGTCTGGAGGCCTGTGGGATTATTTGGAGTCCAGGCTCTCAAGTTCCTGTAACCACAAAGCCGTGACCCCAAATGTGTGACCCCCTTCGAGCCAGCACAACAGAATTCAACTGATTGCCCCCCTGAAGTGGAAATTAGCCTTGATCGGGCAAAAGGGCCGTGGTAGTGAAAGGAGGAAGGAAGCTCCAGCTTCCTTCCCTTTCCCTCTGTGGTGCTTCATTTGATGGCAGAAAATGGCCCTGTAGATGAAACGCAGAGTGCAAGGCACAAGGCAGCAGAGAGCATCACGGCACCATGTGTTCTCTTTGCATGCACAGAAGCTCCACGTTTGGAAGCGTACATGCATTGGTGTGCAGGGACTAGGTTAATACCCTAAGAGAATAATCCTATACATGCTGAGAGAGATTAGGGCCTGCTAGGAGTGGAGGATTTCTTTTCTTGGTCCAAACATACATAGGATTGTGCCGTTGTATGTAAGAACTGCAGTTGGGGGTGGGTGTTCAGCCACTGAGAGATGTTCCTGCAATGGACAGAACCCATATACACAAGACGCATGGAGGGAGAGTGGTTGGAGACAGGCTCAACATATGCTCTTTCTGCTGCTACGCATGGCTATAAAGGAAAGCAGGTTCTAGACCATGTATTCCCTGTGCTAAGGTCCAGGAATGGCACCAGGACACAAGACAGATTTAGATTTCCCCACATATCAAAGGCTTCACTGTTATGAGAATCATTTCAAATTGACTGTCCTAACAGAAGATGTCATCTTAAGTCCGTCTGCAAATGTACAGATACCCTGAAAAGCAGTTAGTTGCAAGGGACATAATATGGAAATCAAGAACAGGTAAATTATACATGGAAAGAATAGTAGAATGTAGCTACAGAAAATCTGCAATGAATGAATAATAGTGTGCGCTCCCATGGAGCAACTGACCAATATTCACAATAAGGACAGAAATATTGAAAATTTAGAAGTTTTTATATTCTGGTCTGAAAATTATCTTTCAAAGATAAGAAGTCATCGATAGGAGTTCTCAAGCACAAAAAGTACCAATGCCCCACACTATATTTCCAAAAATGTAGCATTTTTGCTAAAATACAGTATATTAGATAAATGAGTAATGAAAAACATTTCCTTATGATCAAATGACTTTTAAAAGTGGAGTCAATATTGTGTCAAATATGCTTTCTTTAATGGAATTTCCACATTATTGATACACAATTTAACTAATAAACTAAATATGTAGTAAAAATCACAGAGCAAAAGAAAATAATTTCATACAATATACTTTGCTTTTAGGTTAACAGACCAAATGTGAATCAGTAACAAAAATAAATACTAAATGATGTTGCTGAGACAAATGAAGCAATATGAGACACTCAATTTTTTTAGTAAATGAACCCTGCATTCAATTAGATACAGAAAATGTAGAAAATGTTAACGCACACCATAGTAAAGAAGCTATTAAGCTAAGTAAAGGAGTAGAAAAACACTTTTGATGCTCGTGTTACATAAAGATCACACAAATCAATTATACATGATTTGTTGGGTTAGTTTAACATGAATTATGAAAGGATTACAAGTCAGTCTCCATTCCACTACAGAGATATTGAAGGTATGGATGGGATGACCCCTCCCCTCCAACTCAAAATGTCTAGACTACAGAAGACTTCAAAGTCTTATAAGCTCTGTGGACCAAACTGTCTTAAGAATAAGGTGTTGTTAATTATTTCATAAATTAACAGAAACTTCCCATTAACAGATCAGCAGCCTGGAACCATGCAATAATAGACTGATAGGGAACACACACCACTTTCCTTCCCAATTAGTTAGTACTTGTTAGAATCACGGAATAGGGCAGCAGTAAAGTGGAGAATTAGATGATCAATTCTTCTTTCTCTTGTGTTCTCAAGAGCTGTTTAATAGCACTGCCACGGACACCTCACCAACCAGTGCAAATAAAGCAACATGCATCAGCAGCTTTCTTTCTGTGTCAATCCACAATTCTTAGGAGCGACGTGACACAGTAGGAAAAGAGACCGGTTCACTGTGAGACCTGCTACTCACTCTCTTACAGTGTAACGGCCCCCCTTCCAACTGCACATCACTGTAGGAGTCTATACCAACAGGAGTCTATACAGACTCTAGAGAACCTTGTAACCTGCTGTGCTCGTGATGACTAACACAAACATAAGGATTGGAAAATAGCATAGCATTACCAAGGTTTACAGCAAAGTTCAGGAGGCTATCTTGGTAGTTCAGAGACTCAGCCTTGTGTGCTGAAGTAACCTACCTTTTAAAAACTAGTTTTAAAAGATGCAGGCAGTTCAGAAAAAGATGGTATCCAAACATTACTGAAATAGGAGCAGATCCAGTAATTGTTGTTTGCCCCATCTTTGACCCAGCATTTTAAGGACTGAAGTGCTTGATGACATTTTGCCACGCCAACAATAGGGCAAATGCTCGATAGATATTTAGTTCTATGTTTTGAAATGAGATATTTTTAATCTTTAAGACCATTATGATGGGAATCAATGATGGGAATCTCAAAAACTACCTTGAAAACAAAAAGAGGCAATAGGGTGCATTAAGGAGAAGAATACATTTTTCCCATCCCATATTAAAAATTGAGGTAGTGATAATCTGCCCATGTCTCTCTGAATTTTGCCACCACCATAATGGATTATGCACACACATCCAATAAAAGATTTTCTTTTTGGAAATCCAAAGAGCCTAGATGAGCTCCAGCAGAAGTGTCTTTAGGGACTGGCATGATTGGCAAAGACCTTGTGTTGGTTTGCTTTTAAAAACAAATTTGGCTCAGGGCTGCATCTATGAGTTTACCCAGACACATGGCAGGAAGGAGGGATCTGGCTGAAGAATCGAGTAATAGATGCAAATACCTGCTTGCTGCGTAGTCTGTGGCATTTGTGGACTCCGCTGCGCATTGTACTGAACTGAGGCCATGGGTCTGTACTGCTGAGTTGCTGAGGTAGGGTATTGACCAGATGGGTAATAATACACAGACATCTGTGGAAGATAAGAAGCACTGAGCATGTATTATAAAACTTTAAAGCTATACAACAAACTGCACACCCAGACAATTCAAAAACATTTATGAAATGCATGGTTTGAAGATTAGAACGTCTCCTGATCTTCTTGGGAAAAGCTGTCCAAAATATTTTATAAAGCATAGAAATTATTCTGTTAAGTGGAATATTACACATTTACAGGTCTATTAAATATCCTCAAAGTATCAACCACAGGAACAGGAAAATACCCTATTAAGAAATCTAAGCAAGGAACTGTACAACTGTTGTTCCCTAGGTTTGCCATAACTTCCTGTAAAGCACCACCAGTGATGCATACTGTTATTCAAAAAGAATAGAACATCAGAGACAAAATTGCAAGGGCAACCTGCTTCTTGAAGCAGGGTTGATTACAAAGAAGAAAGGAACAGACAGACCAAAGGAGCCAGATGAGTAGCCAGAGATGACTCACTGTAGAAGCCAGGAAAGGTGTAGGAAACCCTACTTCACAAGATAGATCGAGTGATGAAAGGAAAAAACTGATACTGCGAGAACTTCTGAAGAAAGGCTCATGGACCATTGCTTCTTGCTCTTTGTTTTTCAACAATGTGCTGTCATACCATTTCCTGGAATAAAGTGGGAACTTTACAGACGTATTTAAATATGAATACCACTATTGAGTGCAGGAGTGAGTTGACATGGAAGAAGGCATTGTAGGGATCCATGAGCCCTACAATGACGCACTAAGCATACAGACCTTAGCAAGGCTGTGATTACACCCAATGTCAGGAGATATTACAGAAAGAGGTCAGGAAACTGATTTTTTTTTTCCTTTAAAACAGAAAGCTGCATTAATTAGCTTTTTAACATTTTATTGAGCATACTGTTTCAGCCTTCCCTCAAATTAAGCCTTGTTTAGACATTCAAGGCTACAATCCTCAATTTTATTTTCTCAGGTAATACAATATAATTAATGCTTTAGTTACATACAGTAATAAAAAAACAGCATCAGTAAATGATTTCATAGCAATAGACAATGCAGAGAACATGGAGATGGGGGAGCGCTGTTCCAAGGGGAGGGAATAGGCTGGGAGAAATTGCTGTAGCTGTCTGGTATAATGGGATGAAGCAACACTATTCATAATGTGATGGTTGGAGCTGGGGGTTTTAACTAATTATGGCTGATGTACACAGTTCTTTGCAGGATGGATAAAAAGAGTTGGTGGATCAAGGACAGTATACATTTCTGAAGGCCAAATGAGAGCCTGGGAATCCTAAATTAGAGAATATTGCTAGTTGCAATGCAGTGGGAATGAACTCCTGACAAATGTTTGATCTCTGAAAATAATGATCACCTAAATTGCTGTGTAATCATATGTATGTTTATTCAAAAGTTCAATGCATAGTTCTACAGAGTTCAGTGGGCTTACTCCCAGATAAGTGGATAAAGGATTGCGGCCTAGAAGTCTTGTATGGATAAAGGCTTGGGCAAAAATGATCTGGTAAGATGCCATGTACCTGGATAAGCTAATCATGATGAGCCATGCAGGATATAACACAGATTCTGACAAAAGGACAATAAATAGTAGACCTTGTAGTCTGAATCAGATCAAGTCAGGGACTTTCAGAAGTGAAGGAGGATAGTAACAATTGCTGACAACAGTACGAAAAACAACTACATGTATGGCCTGTACATTAGCTGTATTCAGGCCTTCTGTAAGCAAGTAACAATCACACGGAAGGAGGTACTGAAGCCCTGTCAGCTCTGCCATCCTGCAGTTCATGTGTTTTTGCAGATATCTGAAGAAGGAAGCTGCTCACATCTGCATTTGCTTCCTCTGAGATGTGGAACTTTTCACAACAGTGGGGCGGGGGGGGGGGACCTACACAGGTAAAGCGAACTACAGACTACCCCACAGGGTGTGCACAGCAAAAAGATGGAGCTGCCTGAGTCGTGATGGTGTGGGTGGGACCAGTGCATGCCCTCCATCAAAACAATTACATGGAATAATGCCCAAACAGAACTACTATTATTGTTTTAGTTAGTCATGTATTAAACGAACAATGACAAAAATGACAAAGAACAGCTATAATTAAAATTAGAGCAAAGGCTTTAGTTTTGGAAAAGTAGGAATATTCGGCAAAACAAAACTGATGGGAAAAAAAGAAGTTTCTAATAATTTAGTTGTACCTCTTTTGCTATGGGCTTACTTGATAAAAACAGTGACAGGAGAGAGCTGCAATGCAGTGGAAGGACTTGTGCTTTGAATGAATGAGATTCCAGGCCAAATCTTTCTCATTTCCTGGATCTGGGAAAGGCTTCTCTCTGAACCTTTGCAGACCCATAGCCAGTTAGAATAGACAGCACTAATCTTGAAGTTCTGTACATTTGACTCCCTTATATCCCAGCTTCATCTCTGTATGCTTACTCTTTTCTGACAGCTCAGCAATGAAGACCCATGGAAAAACGAACAGAAAGGCAAGATGTGATGCAGAATGTAAGGATTTCCCTCCGTGTAATAATTACAAATAAATTACTGCACTTTTGATATTGAAAGAAGTCTTAGATGGCAGGTCTACATCCCTAAAACACAATGAGTATTCTTAAATAATCATAAATTGGTAGCCTACACACAGCAATGTATAGTTACAAAGTATTATACAAACGTAAATCAATTTATCTTTGTAGAATTTAGATACACTTATACAGAGCTAGCCACAGGGAAATTATTATTTAAATTGACTGGAAGAGAATGCATTTGTTACATACTCCATTTAATGGCTATCAAAGCAGCCATTGATCATTCTGAAGAATGCTGTTTGCTGGATGCAGCATTAGGTGGAAAGAAATCATATAATTTGGGATGATTAATGGATATCTTTTGACAGTAACCAAGCATTCATAATTTCTCCAAGAACAGACATTACAAATAATCAAATGGGGAAAACAACTCAATCAAAAGCATAATGGGAAAGCGGCAGCATGATAACAGTCATATTATTTAATCATTCTATTTATGACTGCATTTCTACCAAAAGGGGCATTACAGGTGGCTAATGGCATTCAAGCTGTAGGGAGTCTACCAGAATTGGCCAGGTTCAGTTCAAATATTATCATTCTGTAGATCTGCCAAAGGCCTTTTCCAAACTTAGGACTTGAAGAAATGTAAGTTCACACAAGGATTAGTTCTATCAAGATCAACAGGTGGACAAGAAGGATATAAAGGATTTCCATATGCAGTGAAAGTGGTTTTTGTGCCAGGTGCCTTGGGATGCAGCAAACTCTGATACTATCATGCATGAAGTTCACCATGCTCTGATGCTTCACTGGATTTTTAAAAATTGTGTGTGCATCAGTAGTAAGAGTAAAAGAGATACACTTATCCCTAGACAGCTGTGTTGTCATGGCACACTAGAATATCTTGGCGTAATCAGTTTTGGTACTCTTGGTCTGGATCACACCTATATGTTCCCAGTTTTGCACCCTGTTCACAATTCTTTGCTGTGGCTCTATCAGTTAATCATCTCCTAACTCAGGCAGAGCATGGATGCTTGGGAGTCATTCCCTCATCATGACATTTTATTTGGATCTTTATGCTATCATACTGACTCCATGTGCAAAACAGAAACCAAAAGATAAGGTCTTCAATGGGCATGGAGAAAGCATCTATTAGGTACATGCACAGCTTGCTGCATCACTGCATAGATCCATGTAAAGTGAATGCCACATGGTACTAGTTTTGTATGCATGATCCATACTGAAAACTGTGTCAGTGGAGTCACTGTAACACAACATTGTCAGCCATGCATATAAGTGTCAGAAAAACAACAATAGTGTGTTCTTTTGCTTTGCTTTTCATTTAGCAACCTTGCACATCAGGCTTTATCACAATAAGAAGCCGCTGAAGCTCAAACTGATACATGAATCTACAAGAACTTGCTGAAGAGCAAGGACATTTGTGGTACTGCTATTTCTGAAGCCTCGAGTCTTTACTCCACAGAGTAGATTTGACTGAAAAACAAAGATTTGTGGGGTGGAGACATGACTCCTTCTATTCTCATTAACACCATGTTTTTTTCCAGCTCTTCCCACTGCTCATAATTAACCAGAGGAGCCGTGAAAGAGGTCACTGTGGCTATTGGTCAAATACTGACATAATGCTCTTGGGCTGAGGTTATGAAACACGTCGGGACAGAAGTAAAAGATCAGAGGGCATGCAGCATATTTTTTTCCTGAAGCAGGGAGATTGAAAAGGGCATTTTCTCCCATAGAAAACAAAATCAAACTGCTCAAGGCATTTTCTAGTCATCAGCTTACCACAGAGAACTGTCACAGTACAATCAGATAACAGGCTGGGCAGCGAAAAAGAACTGTTAAGCTTCTAAACGGGTGTCTCAGTCAGAATGAGACAATGCAGGGCAGGAGTAAAAGGCAAGTGCAGAACAAATGCTTTTCAGTCCTCTTAGATGAGCCTCTTCTAAAATCTTTCTGAGCCTCCTTTGATGCAAAATGGGAAACCAGGCTTGAGAAGGCAACAGCTTTAATATACTAAAGTTTAATTAATGTGTGATATCTTTAGGCTCTCAGGCTCAGCCAACTTGCCTTTTTACTTTCAAAGATAATCCCACATTGACTGGACATGCTCACACACAATCTGTTAGTGGCGACATTGCACAGCACTGGACCTGACAGGGGAGAAGCCCCTGGGCTGTTACCATTACAGAAACAAATGCAATGTTTACGCATAGGCCTCCCCATCGCGGTACCAAATCTGACAGCAGGACTTCATGGTACCAAAACAGCTTTCCATATTGATTGTGTTTTACTCACTGAAGTCTTCCTGCTCCCCACACCCACACCAATGATGATAATAAATCAGCTTAAAGACTGTTGGACCGCTGTCCAGATCTACTTTAGAAGCATCTAAGGAGCAAAGATAATAACAGTTCGGTATATTTGTCATTCTACCAGTTCAACAGGGCACAGACAAACATATTACTGAGGACAGCTTTATATTGACAGCTTTATATTCTCTTTCCAAAGGAGCAGCCGTGTTAGTGGCAAACACAGTCTGATGTCACTTTAGACACTAAGCTATGTATTCAGTGTGGCATAAACATTTGTGGACAGTGTCTGCTTCATCAGATGCTTCCAGTGTGGTGCAGCGATTAAGAGTGTGGGACTAGGACACAGGAGCTCTGGATTCTAGTCCCCACTCAACCATGGAGGGCACTGCGTGATGTAGCCCAGGCACAGACTCAGCCTAGCCAACAGGGTTGTTGTTGTGAGGATAAAACAGAGAGAAGGAGAGCCTTGCAAGCTAGCCAGCAGAGCTATACACTGAGCTGGCATGTTGCGTCATCTTTGCTAGCTGCAAAAATGCAGGCCTATGTGTGACCACATGTGAAAAGTGGAGCAGGTGGCTGGACTCGATGGCTTTATGGGCCCCCTCCAACTCTACTGTTATTGTATTCTAAGTCGCTTTAGGCTCCTTATAATGTAATAATAATATCATACTGTCATCTCAGCTGGAAAAGGTAATTCTGTGCAAATAACCCAGGGGATGGGCAAGCCAGATTGCCCACTATTATTACTATTAATATGTATAATAATATTTTATTATTTCAGCTTCAGGGAAGTTAACCAGTAAAAATGAAAATGATTTGTGAATAAAATCAACAAAAAAGATAGTAAGCTAAGAGGTGAGAAATTTGCAAAGGCGTAAAAATAGGAAGAACTTGTGAGAAAAACAAGTTTCAGTTGGCACTTAAAAGGCAAACCTTTCTAAGAGGGACAGTCCATAGGGAGAGACAGAACACAGGGAATGTGCCACAGCAGGAAAAGGCCCCTCTCTGGGCACCATCGACTGTACTTTAGAAGCTGGGGCAGTGAGAAGAGATCTTCATTTGTTACCTTGATGCAGGGGCATGATCAAAGCACCGGTACTTTGAACTGAGCTCCCCATGCCTTGCTTCTTGCACAACCCAGAAAAAAAATCTGCACAGGTTTTTAGTTTCTTGGATTTACAGTAGCACATACAACCCCCATACAATGGAAATTACAAATTTGTGCAAAAGAATTGGCTTTCCAGAGAACAGTTATAGCCTGCAAGGTGATCTTCAAACACAAGTACTTTGTTTTGGAATAACTGAAATTTAACTCCTGTTTCTGGCAGACTGTTCCAGAACCTCTCTGTGAACATCTCAGCCATATTTATGCAGATGACAATGGCACCATATTATCAGTGGATAACAACATATTCACAGAATCCAGAATCAACATAGAGAAATTTAAACTGTAGAGTTTCACATTAGAAGATTAGAAAGAAAGGGAGCTAAGAAACATCCATTTCCTTTTCTCTTATATTGTCCATTTTCCAGATGTATCCATCAGTTATGCACATTTTAAAATATACACATTTCATCAATACACAATGATGAACATGTGTTTGTGCACATTTCCATGCTCCATTTATCAGGAAGTACTAACATGCTTCTTCTACACATGACCCATAGTGAACACATAGGAATTGATTTTACCAGTTTATTTGACCTGGCAAGTTTTTGAACCTGACTGTTCCTGGTATAAGAAACAGTCACAAGAAGGATACAATTGTTCCTAAAAACTTAATTGTGACTCAGTCTCACACTCGTTATCTCAGCTGAGAGTATCTTAATTTAAGGGCTGCAATGTGGAATGTAAACCTGGGATGCAGAAAGGGAGTGAGGGGAGAGAAAAAAGCCTTTCTAGGAGTCACTCTATAGATCAACTTGCCTTATAATGTACATACTTCAGTATCAAATTTACTAACAGTAGCAGATCCATAGCTATTGGGTTAGGAGAACACTTCCTCCCCATATCCAAGATCATGTTCACTTTTCTAGGAATTTCCTTCCCTTCTTAAATATGTACATTAGGGATGGGGTGCCTCTGACTCATGTGGCCCCTGGTGGTTCCCCATGTGGCCTGCAAGTTTCTTCTGCTGTTATCTTCACAGCGATAGCCTATAAATGGACATTTCATGTCATTAAAGATGTTGCATGGAACTGGGCTGTCTGTTGCAGGCAAGAAACTTGTTGCATTGGGCTGTAACATAGAAACAGAGCAAATCAGAAGGGGCCTCTCAGGCCATCTAGTCTGACCCCTGGCTCTAGCTGGCTCCGCTCATGACATGAACACCATGTACTCCTGAATGATCTGACATTTACTCCTGAGTGGTGCTTTGCAGGAGTGAAGGATGTGAAACTGGGATCATTCCTGACATGAGTACAGACACATACAATTGAACTGTGTTCTATAAGCCTAGTGGGACAATGTTTGAACTGCATCTGATTATTTTATTTCATTTTTCTTTGCTTGTCTTTGGCCCTGCCTCATTCGCCTATTTATTTATTTGATTGACCGATTGATTTAGACTAGTCCTGGTCACTGCCAGTATGTATGGAATTTGGTCTCTGGACCAAAAAAAGACATGCTACCCTTGTCATACATGGTTGCTTCTACTAGGAATGACCAATTTAATCAAACTCAACCTAACCCTAACCCTTCACTGCTCATTCACTTCCAGTTCAAACTCTTAGTATATATGTGAAGTTTCATTCCCTGCCCCAATGTGCATCACTTGGGGGGGGGGGGGGAATAACTGCATTGTTATTTTGATGCTCATTCATTTGATGCAGTTTGAAAAGATCCTTTTGAAGGTCTTAACTATCTCTTTTGTGTTTACTTAATTGTTTGGCATGATCCACAAACCTGGCCACCTCGCTGCATATCTCCAACTCATAGATGAACAAGTTAGAAAGAACTGGTTTCAAGACAGATCATGCAAACTGCACTGTTTCTACCTCTCCAATGCACATTCGTTCCTATATGCTTGCTGTTTTTAGTCAGTTTTTAATCCATAAGAGGATCTCTTTCCTTATCCCATTCTCAGAGGGTTTTGGTGATGGATATTGTGAGAAGCCTTTTGAAAGCTTGCTGGATCACTCCCATCCATTCCTTAACTCTCCAATCATAATGACAGGCATTTTCTTAATATCATGGAAAGGCTACTGTATATTTTGTTGCAGCTTTTTCACTTTCCAAGGAGCCTTTTTATTTTTTTAAAAAACCAAATCTCTAAAAATATTATGAGATCAGCAGGTACAGAAGGAAAAGAAGCATGACTGCTGTAGCTGTAACTACTGTGATTTTATAAGCCAGAATCTTCTAAATACAGCTCAATTTTTGAAATTTTAATGCACAGCACTAGCTCTCCAAACTGTTTGAAAAAGCCTTGAGAGTAACCCTGAAGAGATACTGTTGCATAACTGATATCAGCAGCTGTCCATAGGATGAAAAACAATTGACACAAATAAAACTAAAACACAAGGTTAATGTTTTAGGAGGTTAAAATCTGAAAAGGGAGAGAGAAGCAGGCAGGGTAAGCATGAGACAGAGAGAGGCTACAACATTTCAGAATGCTGGGGTGCAGTTTGCTATAATTACCTTTGGAAAACTAGCTTTTTAATAAAATGCATTTGATAAAGCTTGCTAGAAAATTCTCTGGGCACTTTGCTTTTTGTCAATAATCGCTTCTCTTGGTCTGTGGGGATACTCAGGAAGCAAACAGGAATGTTCGGGCACAAACATTAAATCCTTATCAGTCTTCAGGAAGCCAGTACACATTACAGATCTGTCATGTCTTACATGTTCAAGTCAATTAAATATGATTCATGGCTGGTACTTCTGTTAGAGGCAAAGTGGCAGCTCTGTCTCCTTTCTTTGGAAAAAGTGGAGCCGCAGATAAACTATTTCCTCTCTTCTGCAGGAATAATGTGCAGATGAATTCTAAAGCACAGCTGTGTTTTCTAGCACTGACCTAAAGGGCAGGTTTATACCTGCAGTTACAGCTCTCATCACTGTATTGCTCAGCTAAATGTGTGGATAGTGATGCGCGACTTGGCAAACCTTGATCTCATGGAAATTCTCCAAATTCCTTAAACTTCTTTCTCACTTGTGTCCATATCAGACAGTGAGCTTTGTTTTTTCTTTTCACATGAACATTTTGCTCTATTTTCATTTTCTGGATGGACACATCAATTGTGCACATTTGAAATATACCCATTTTCTTGCAGTCGTTAATGTGTTTTTGTACATTTTCAAAAATAAGCTTTTCTGCAGTTATGTTTCAAATTCATGCATATTTAACATACTTTTTTTGCTCCAAAATCAATAGATTTAGGTAGACGTGTTTAGGTCCATGTTTCTTTCTAGGAGGTGAGAACTGGGTAATTTACAGTCAAGAAAGCACTGAAATAAGTTTCTTGTTCATTCCTATGTATATACCTGCTTCATTAAGAAAGATGCATTTATGACTATCAATTAGTGATAAATCTATTGATTCATAGATGTTGGTATTTGATGCTACAGTCAATTAGTAATGAGATGCATGGGAACTGGCCAGAAAAGTTGTCCCAGTCAAGGAGCAAATATGAGATCAATTAACACAGCTAATGACACTTTGTTTGCATGTAGTCATTATTCTCAATAATATATGGATTTTCACAAAAAATAGTTATTAGAAGGCTTCAAGTCATTGTGAAGAAAACTGCCTTATTATGTTAACTGGGTCAACTGACGAACTGTTCATGCATTTGGTATTGCTACATGTCATTTCCTTTACAACTATGCTATAAAAATCATGCACAATGAATATTTGAGGGTGAATGGGGGAGGAAGCAATCACAAATAGACACTGACCTGAGCAGGTGGTGGTTGCTGTACATATCCCTGGGGTGGAGGTGCGGCTTGCAGGACCTGTTGAGATACTGGTGGACCTGAACCTGTAAAACCTCCAGGAGGGAGCTGCTGGCTTGGGGATGCCATGACGTAACCAGTCTGTGGGGAAGACTGCTGTATAATAGGTGATGGGTAGACAGGACCAGAAGGTGAGTCAGGGTTGTCTCCTGAGGACTGGCGACTTAAGCTCATCTGGCTAAACTGTGTTGTCATGTCATCTCGCTGTGAGGCAAAAGTCAGTTGAAAATGATCAACAGAGATCTCTGCAGTAGATATTTGGAAAACAAAAAAATGGGTTCAAACAAGCACACACAAAAAGCAGAAGGAAATACATTTAAGCACACAAAAAAGCAATAAAGTGAATAAAACAAACCAACCAGCCTAACTCTGTAAGTGAATTGTGAAAAACTCAAGAAACAAAATGGTGCATACTATATTAGACTCAATAACAGCAGGTAGTATTTTCCTGTTTTGAGATTAATTTGACCCTTTCTATGTTAGCTGCAGACAGATGCTAGAATGAGCCGCTTTCCAACAGAATAAAAGGAATAAGCTATAATTTACAAGCATACTTTTCTTTAGTTCTCAAACAGTAAAAGACTTGTCTAACAAATCCTTTGTGTGTCTGCTAAGTGGTAAGTCCTAGTAAATTAACTGGGATTTATTCATAGGTAAGCACATAGGGTACCAGCTAAAGATTTAATGGGATTAGATGCTGAACCACCAAAAGAGAAGCATTTGGGCTTCTAACTCTGTCAACTTAAAGAACCCAGAAAAGTGGCCTCATCTGGATCAGGTGGACTCTGAGGGCCAAAACAAGTATTATTGGAAAGACGTTGCTCTTGGCTACATCTTCAAATTAAGGTCTGTATTGACCTTACGGTACTGATTTGCTCTTCCATTTTAAACCCTAAAGGGTTATCCAGTTTTGTTTCTGTCTTTTTAAAGGACTAGAGAAAATCTGATGTTTTAAAATGTCAATCATAAATTAGAAAATGAGAGAAAGGGGAGAGCAGAGAAGAAGGAAACAAAAACACATAGATACCATCCTATCTAGCCTATTAAATGTCAATTGAAGCTTAATTGCAACTTAAGTAAGTTAACTGTGATTCTTAAGCTGCATATCAAATTAGCTTGACATGGGCTACTTTTCCATGTGGTTCAGTCGCAGGACATGTGGAGTTCTTACTGCCTCAATACTTCTCCAACTTATTCCATTATATCTTTACAACCTTCCATGTTTTACCTTCAGCAATTGCTTAGCCTGTGTACCTAAACTGAGATTAAGAAAATGTCAAAGTCTATCTGGCTGTCTATTCCAATCAGACAAGAATTGGGAATGTTACTAAACTTGACAGGAGATAAAAGCACATATGCCTGTACTAGGGAAGAATAAAGAGGCAACTCCTACCAGCAAATTGCCAAGGTCACATGGCAATTGTGTGTGTAAGACTTGGCTGAAGTACAAATCAGCTCTCTGCTCTGATCACAATTTTCTCAAATGTGATTCATTTATTCTGTAGTATGTTAACTCCCACTTGGTTGTTTTCTAATAAGCCCCCACTGTATTCCTGTGCTATTAACTTAGGATACCTTTGCAGCAGCTGTTTTTCTAGGACTGGTGATATTCCTGTTCTTGTGAAAGATTGCCTTTTCACAATTGCTTGTGTAAAAGTGGATACCTCTTCACAGAAGGCACATGAGCACTGCCACTTATCCCACTGGTTTCCATATGCTGATGCTCATTTTTGCTACGTTCCTGCCTGCTCAAACTTCCATTATTCCCAAGTGTGCCACCATGAACTCCCATAGCCTTTTATTGTGAATGTGGTACCAGCTCTGCCTGTGGATATGCACAGCCTCAGAGGAGACAGGCTGGAGCTCTGCTTCTCCCTCTCCCTCGATTCCTGTCTCCTTTCTTTAGCATCTACAACAGTGAAGGGCAGTTAGTACTCCTCTCCTCCATCCTTCCTAGTTCCAACTATATCACTCTCTCCACTTTGCTTGTTGAGAAGGAGCCCTTCTGTTCTTTTCAGGAATTGTCCAGCCTGCAAATTAACACCTGTGGTGTTCAGCCACGTCTGCCCCAGCACGTTAAACAGCTCGTTGGTCTACAGGTTGCGTTCTGGAGCTGTTCAAGAGGCTAACATGGTGCAGCTCCTTATATTGCAGTGAGGGAGGCGGAACCAAAGCAGATGCCAACATTCCTTCCCTACTGCAAAGTGCCTTTCACTATGTGGCTGAAAGTTATTTCACATTTCCTCAAAAGTGTGTGTGTATGTGTGGGAGCACATATGACCTTCATGCTAAGATATCTGCTAGGAGAGTTACTGATTCCTTTAACTGAGTCTGAGCTACAATCCCAATTTGTACTAAGCACCCAGAACACAGAAAGGTAGTTCAGAAAGCAAGAAGGGTCATCCCTTCTGGACAGGATAAATGATAAGGAAGGGATTAGACATGTAGGTGCACCAATATCTTCAGTGGGGCAGCAGCAAATTTTGAATTTCAGGCATTTGGGCTGATCCATACCAGCAAATTGGTTCTACTAGTTTTATCTCCCCATGAGCAGGTCTGTGTAAAGTTAACAGGGCCTGATTGCCAGTTCAAGACTGAGCCACCTGAAAGCACTTTGCATTACAAGTGGGAACAACATGTTGTTGCTGGAACAATGCATTTTGTCCCAGCAGCTAAGCTCAGTAGGAACATGGAATTTGCTGGCAGATGGGGTGGCATCCAGGCTAATCAAAATTGCCAATGCCACTGCATACCGGTGAATTCTGGCTCCATCATGTCACTGTATAATTCTAGCTCTCTGAGTGAATGCAGAATAATCAGAACTAAAAGGGCAATGACGTATAAATAATGCTGTATCTGTAGCTAACTTTGGAAGTCACCTAAACACACACTGGAGGGAATATTACATCACTTTCAAACATGAATTTTGGACAGACTTGTGAGGGGTTCAGTGACAAGCAGGGTCAGGGCCACTGAGCAAAACAGGAGTTTTATGGCAATTGCATCATTTTTTTCTCTGGATAGCAAAGCCCCAGGACAGAAGGTGTGCTTAGACAACATAATCAATCCACATAAAGAGCAATAAAAATCTACAGTACCAGAGGAAACTGCTGCGTTGGAGACACTGCCAGAAGATGCTGAGGAGGATAGGAAACGGCTGGGTACGGCACTGATTGGGAGGAGGGCTGCAGAGCCTGAACTGACTGCAGCAGAAAGGGGACAGAATAGAACAAAGAAGATGAAGTTATTTCCCTTGGAGTACAACAGGCATTTCTGAATTTGAGCTAGGGTCCAAAGAATAGCCTGGAAGCACAGGTGACCTATTCTGGCTCTCCAACTCCAAGTGAGATATTGTTGTTTCGTGAATGCTTTTTTCCCCTGCATGTCTGCAATCCTGTCTGCAATCCTAAACTTGTTAATTTCATTGTCAAAATGCCCATTTGATTCTCACACTCAGAACCTCAATAGTTGTGCTCTCATGTTGCAATGCTGCATTAATGCTCCAGCAAAATATTTTGCTGTGCTTGTACAGTGACTGATGTGTCATTTACTGCTGGTAAAGCAAGCCTTAGAACTGGGCCTAGCAGTAACCCAGAGCAGCACAAGCTAATCTTATAAAGACAGTAATTCATTAGATTACTTGTTGAAAAGATGTATATCCTGCCCTTCAACAGGTTTCAGAGCAACTAACCAAAAAGTTAAAATTACATAAAACCTGCAACACAGGGATTGCTGTATGTGAGATTAAAGGGTAGCACTTCCATAAAGATGACTTGCCGATACTGAAGAACACACAAGCAACAATCCAATTAACACAAAGCTATGTCATGAACAATGTAGCTATAATAACCAAGATGTCATGACCATCATGGTCATTTGCAGGAAACAGGTAAGTAAATTAAATAAAGGTTGTGCATTTATAGACCGTGTAGGGATTGCTATTTCCCATTTATAACTTAAATTTCCCACTGTCAACTCCTTCAGTATCTGGAGAAATGCAAGAGGATAATTTGGCCATTTCCTAAGCACTGCTAGGAACAGAAGTGCTGACTAATGCTACAGATGTTAGCTTCATTATGCCAGATGCAATTAAAATCCAAAATGAATGTCAGTCTGGTAGGATTGCTATCCCACCCCCACCACCCCTTATATTCTTAGTTGGGCAGGAATTCTGTACTTTCAACAGGAACATCTTTTTCTAGCACAGAAAAATAGTGAATTTTTGCCACTTGTACTGTTGTAAAATATCATGGGAATGTTATTTCAGTAGTGCATATTCATATATTTTTGAACTTATATCTCCATTTGAACTTCAAGTGACCTATTTATTATTTGCATTCATGCAGTTATTAATAATAGTTATATACTGCTTAATATAAAAAACCTCCAAGAGGCTCACATGACCAATATTAAAAATCACATTTATATACAGTATCAAGACACTTTCAAAACACTTTCAGCTACCACTACAAAACAAGTACATTTAAAATAACATTAAATTAAAACTAAACAAGAAATACGAAACAATACAAAAAGTAGCATGTGGTCCATTGCTGCTATTTACAAACCAGAGGAGGTGAAAAAAGTGCCTTTCAGGTGGCATTTGAAACAAGCTGCATGGGGGAAGGTTTTTCAGAGGGCAGGCTCTGCCACCAAGACTTGACTTCACGATACGAAATGGCGCCATTCTGTTGGTCGTGGACCAAAAAGCAAAAATGGTGGACTTGCTGGTGGCCCATAGGTACGGCATCATTTCTCAATGCCAAGCACCTATCCAAAGAACGACCTCCCACCCCAAAGGCTTGTGATAAGCTGGCCAGGCTTAGATACTGCCAAAGTTTCTACAAATTTAAGAGTTAAACAGAGAATTCTGTCTGTTCCTGGTTACCAGAATGAGCTGACAGTAAAAACAGATACCAAGTACAATTCTAAAAGGTGTTCTCAGGATCTGAACCAAAACCCTTAACTGAATAATGCAGGATTTAGGCTTCAATTGGGAGCTTAGATATATATGAGGAGGAGGAAAGGGTATGGTGGGGAAACAGAACTTTTCTATACTGTGGTCATCCAAGTAGAACTCCTCTACCTTGCAATTTGGAAAGATTTACATGCTCCTATAAGGAAGCAGCTTATGCATCCCTTCACTGGGACAAAGATGAAATTTCCATTTTGCACAAAAAACAGATGGCTACTTTTGCTACTCAGAGACCCCCATGTGACTGTGTCAAGAACACCTAAAGCCAGTGATAAAGGTGCCTCGTAGGTGGGAGGACTTAAGATAGGGAGCCAGTGCTTCCATCAATGTGGGGTTCTGTGTTGGATGGCTCATCTGGCTGGTGCAACATACATGCCTGAGGAAACATAGCATACAGGCAGAGCTTTCCCCATTTAAAGATGCTTACCTGTGTGACAAGGTGGCTTGCCATTTGTTGCTGTGGTTGCTGCACAGGTTGTTGAGATGAAGGTGGTTGTTGAGACTGTCCAACTATCTGACTCCTAATTGGTTGCTGACTGCTGGGTGGGTTGTATACAGCCGGTGTACCATCAGGGTTTACAAATGGTTGACCTGGAACAGATTATATTTTAATGGGTTGGATTTCTCTTCTCTAGACAGAAGGGCTCCACCCATGAAAGGTGCCTTTACCAGTTAACTTCTCACCACATTCACTGGGATCCTCTGGCCCTTTTTGAAGTATTTCAAGGAGCTGGGAAGATTGCTATGGGATAGGGAAGTCTGCTTCCACCAGCCCAGCCATTCACTTTCATTCATCCCAAACTACTTCTAAACAGCACTTTATGACAATCAGCAAACAAAGGCATGGAATGACACACCTAATTCTTTTATACATTCATGGATGGTCTTCAACAGCCATAAAATTTTGTTAGGTACAATTTATTGGCAATGTTCAATTTTAAAGGCAGCCAGCTATCTTTGTGTGTTTGCGTGTGTGCAGGGAAAGGAATTATTGCTCCTACCAAAACTGTTAACATGTGTAAGTATATTTAACCAGAAGTAAAACATTCCATGCTGTAAGTTCCAGCTGAGCATTTCTGAAGGAGACCAAACTCCATACAACCATATCTTGCTTTAGGCAACAGTCTAACCTTTTGCATACTACACACAGCGAGGGAATCAAGCACAGTTCAGGTTCTGAATCCTTAATCTGCCATGAAGATCCCAGCGGTGCCATCAGTAGACATTAAGGGAGTGAAGGGGTTTCTTTCATTACTTTTATTAGGACACAAACTTGCAATAGAAAGGTAAATTGTAGATCTAAACATTTTAGGAGACTATTCCTGTTCCTCTGCAATGCAAATATTATCTAATTATGAACATGTGCATCTTTTGCTTGTGATTCTATGGGGGGAGGGGGATGAATTTATCAGGTGCTTCAGTTGACAAATTGACAATGTTCATAGTATTGCAGCTTAAATAATTAAAATGTGTACTTTTAGTTGGACTTCAGCTGACACCATCAAATAGTAATTCAGCACAAACATAAGCCTCCTTCCCTTGGAGAGCTTATAGCACTGTTGTGTATGACCCATGCTGATCTCCTTTCAAGTAATATCTGCTTTCCAGTAAGCTCTTAATGCACACACTAATGATTCTTAATGAAAAATTTAATTCCAGCTATCTATTCTCTGCCATTATGCTGACAAACTAAGTTCTATGTCTCCACAAGGCTTTTTCCTGCTGCTGGTGTCCAAGGTGGTGATGTCAGATCCTTCTGCCCCAACCTGGTGCCCTCAAGATGTGTTGCAATTGCAGTTCCCATCATTCCCACCTGGCACAGGAGCTGCTGTCCAAAGCACCTCACAGGCACCAGTGAGGAAAGGTGGACTAGATGTTTCCGGAAGCAAAGCACCAAATTAGGATAGAATTTGCAGATGCAGTTATGTTTATACTACTCTCTTAGAAACCAGAGCCCTATGTGTTCCTAAGATAGGGCATTTATAAAAGGGAACCTATTGTATGCATGAAGGGCATTTTTGCAATTTGTAGTGGGTGTCTAAATCATGTGCAGCATCACACATGTCTGGCAGTCTCACCCCACAATTTTTATCATGGTACAGACTAGGGGAGAACATGAAGACAAGGAAAGCTTTGGTGGGTTAGGTCCTCCTTCCCCTGTACAATCTCCTGAAAGGGAAAGCCCAATAGAGCTGGCAGAGGAACAACCAAACCAACGTTAAATTTAGGAGGGGGGGGGGCAAATGGGAGAGAACTTATAACTGCCATTCTCTTTTTTAAAGAACTCAGCATGGCTTACATATGTATATATGTAATGTAATATATATGTATGTAAAATCAGGCTCAGAATAACCACATTGCTGGGGAGGGGAGCAGAGGATAGGTCAGAGTTCTGGCAGCAACCTCCAAAATGCATTCCAAGCTCAGAACTGGGACTTCAGTGGGCTTCCCCTCCTCCCTCATGGCCACGGTGGTTCCTTCAGCACTGGCTGGGCTCTGTAGATAGAAGACCATTTTGGGGGCCCACACAAAGGGATATTCTGGGGGGAAGGGGGAGGCACGGCCATCCTCTAGGGAATCTGGCAGTGATTTTCCCCTCCCATTTACAAGGGAAAAAACATTTAGACTGTCAAACTCTAAATAGTTTAGTTATCAAGGGGCTTTGCTAGCCTCCACATGCCTGTCTTCCACTGGATGCTTGCAATCCAATGGAAGGTGAAGGGTCTCCAGCAGCCACCTTGTAAGTTGGCCTAACCTGTTTGAGTAAAATGGTCAATATGTATTACTAAAATGGCTTGCTGACCATGATCACCTTGGTAGCAACTCTGGGAGCAGTTCTGTAAGGGGACTAAGGTTCTCTGGTAGAGAATTCTTTGCATCCGTACAATCTGCAGTTCCTAGAATCCCTAGCAAGAAAGCCTGAAAAAGTTTGTCTAGAACAAGTTATGCTGCATTCAGTTTAGTTTATAAGGTAACAAGCACTTCAGTGGAAATCTCAACATCTTATGAAATCTATAAATGTGATGTTAAATTGTTCTCTCATGCTGAGAAATATTCCTGTTTTCAAGATGAGCTGGTTCACATGCAAGAAATTGTTTTGAATACAAGGGCAGCCCTGATTGTTCTCATATATACACACATGTCCTGTCAGTCAATGGAAGGTATATTTCCTTCCATCATCACATGGTGGCTATGACCAGAAGTGCCTTCTGCTTCTGCAAAGGGAAAACCTGCTCATGGTCACATTTGTCTTAGTTACATCAAGACTGGATTACTTGGAGCTACCCTTGGAGAACATTCAGAAACATCCGCTGGTAGAACATCCACACTGTAGCAGTGAAAGTTATGATCAGCATACGTGTGTGTGTGTGTGTGTGTGTGGGCAGCTTGGTGGAGGTGATTGAACCTGTATCCATTCCATGTTTTCTGCAATCCTTCGCATATTTAATTGGGGGAAAGGCTCCACTGAACTTGATGGGGCTTACTTCTGCCTGCACAGGCTTGACGTGTAAAACAGGTTGAGCTTTGAGCCTGCTGAAATGTGATTGTTGGCATTCACTTATGAGCGCAAGCAGGGTCTGCCAGCTTACTCTGACTATCACTCCTGCTTTGACAAATGTCCCAGGGCTGCACCTCACCCCTCCCTCTGTGCCCCTGGTCATTACTTTTTCTTAATCTGCTACTCCTCTCTTGTTTTCATTCCTTTTCAATTTTTAAGATGGATCATCTTTGAAGAGTGATATAAGGCACTTCGGGTGCTCCTACAAATGGAGTGGAAGCTTTTTGCTACATGAGCAGCTGCACTAGGCAAAATGGGGGAATCTTGCTCCTAGCTTCTGCAAAGCCTCATCGGCATCCAGGTGTTTATACAGACTGTGATTTACTAAAAATAGTAAGGGGAAATGAAAACAACAGACCTGTGTGTGGATTGAGCAGGATACTTCCTGGTGGTATTCCTGTGGCTTCAAGTGGAAGTATGATATAGCTGGTGTTGCTAGGGACCACCTGACCACCTATCCCATTCTCTGTATAGGAAACCGTGCTTGAAGAGGCAGCTGTAACTCCAGGCACGAGGGATGCGCTTGGGAGAGGCTGATGTGTTCGGGACAGAGATCCTGAGGACCCAGCACTGCTGGAAGACTCTGAACCTATAAAAGAAATTTAGGACTTCTGTTATTGATGCTAGGTCTATAGGACAGTGAGGAAGTGAATACCATCTATACTAGCAATTTTACAGAACAGATAATGTCTTTATCTGCAACCCCAAATAAGTCTAGGTCACTGCCTGTCTTCTACCTAGTTAGTTCAAGTTCAAATTCATTCAGAATAAACTTGCTCGCTTGTCCAGTGATTTGAGATTTAAACTGGATTACAACTAGGACTGTGATGAACTCTACAGGAAGAATCTACATGGGAGTCCTGTTTGTTCATGAAGCCCTGCAGAACTGTTTTCTCTTGTCTCCCAAATGCAGTTGGTAGGTATGTGTTAATTCACATAGCACAAATATTGTATTTATAACATGATCAAGTGCAGTATACTAATGTACACTAATGTATAGTCTTATAGAAGCAGAAAACATCTGAGGAGTTTGAAATTATAGGAGCAGAGTAGCAAGACACTGAAATGCAAACTTGTGCCGCAGGTTGCTTCATCACTTTGAAATGCTGGTTTTGCATTAGATGTGGAAAGAAATGATTCTAAGATAAGTCCTGCTACTGCTAGACTTTTTTTTAATTCATGTGCACCAGTGAAAGTCTGCATTGCTTTAACCATAGAAAAGAGATGTATGTTCCCTTCTAACTTTACCTTCCTCATGTTCTCCTTTCCCTCTGCAAATCAGCACAAAAGCCAGAATGTTCCTTTACCATGCAGCTTATTGTTCTGGCCTCAAGCTCAGATTCCTTTTGCCCTGTTTGGAGCCAGGAGCTAACCTCCTTGAAGTCAGAATGACTTACTTCTGAGCAGACATATATATCAGATTTGTATTGTCAACTGGTAGTTTTCTGGGATCAAGAAAGCAAAAAGGGGACAAATCCCTCCTTTTTTTCAGGGTGAGTGGAAAGCAGCGCTGATGCTACTCGGTTTCACTGAGCAATGCAGTGGAAAAAGAATGGGGAGCCCTTCAGGCAGAGGAGGCAGAAAAAACTGCTGAAAAAAGCTGATCACTATGGTTCTCCCTCCAGCTGCTGCTGTTTTGCTTATAGAACCAAAAAGGTGCATGGTCAGCCATTTGATTTATTTTAAAAATGGCATTTTTCAATATTGTTCACCTGAAAAATTCCATACCTATGCAGAAACATTTTAACAGGAAGAATGTTAAATAGATGAAGAATTCTATAGATGCACATTGGCAAATACTGCCAATTAACCATTTAGCTGATGGGTGATGGTGCTGCTTTGTCAATAACAGTCAGGCAATGGTGGACAAATTCCCATTACCTCTCCGCAGAGCCACTCTGTATATTCCTTGTTGAAGCTGAATGGGGAAGGCTGGAAAAAAAGATTGTTGAACAGTTCCTGAGGCTGAACTCCCTGCACCCCAGGAGAAGTTACAGTACCATAAGCTTGAGGCTCATGAGGATAACATAGTTTTGTCTTCTGCATGAGTACACCAAGCATTGACCTGGTTCACATGACATGATAAGCCATGATGGATTGTCACTGTGGGTTGTTTCAGAGTAGCTTGTCATGATATCTGAACATGGAGCAGAATTTCTATCATTTGTTGTTCTCCACAAGCAAGCCACTTCCATGGTTTGTGGTTGCCTCATTCAGGGTGGGTTCTTTGCAGGGTGACTTGCCATGATGTCTGAACCCAGGAAGATATCTTGATCATGGACTGTTGGGAACAACTAGAGAGCCACCCAGCAAGAGCAGCAAAAATTCCTGGTGTTCCTCAAGATCTCACCAGTGCCCTGCCATCCTCCCTCATCCATTTTCAGTGCCACTCCATGCTCCAAAAAATTGACAAGAAATGACCCTGGAAAATGTCATGGCCTTATTTTGGTCTTCTGTAAATGTGCACATTCACAATATAAAATCAGCATGTTTTCCTGATCTTCCTCATTCGTTTTCCTTGAAATTTGCACGTTTACCAATACTACTCATTGCTGTGCCCTGACATTTGCATGCTTACTAACCTACCTCATTGCTCAAATATACGTTACCACTAACAATGGAGATCAGCATGATCAGCAATGATGAGAAGGGGTGGAGCCAAAAGTAGCTAGCAGCTACAAAAGAAGAAGCCAGGTTTTTGGGGTGGGTATAATTTCTTCAGGAATAGGTGAAGCACCCTTTAAACAAATAAGCTTTCTGCTAGCAAGGACATGCTGAAGTAGATAATAAAAAGAGGGAATTATCAGAATGCTGAGCTAAAGAGAATACAGGCAATTTTGTGCTCTTGGCCCAGAAAAGTGTGCGGGGGTCTACTACAATATTCAGATAAGTTCTTTTCTGTAATCTGATGTGGTGGGGTGAGCTTTGCTTGGCAAGCACCAAAGAGGATTACATTGACAACATTAACAAGAGGGATATATTGGGATACTTGGCTAAATAGCAGAGATGTGTTCTTGCACTGAACTTCAGGCTTTTAAGGTTTGCGAATATGTTGCTATGTTCAGGAGGACTCAGAAAATGGGATCCCTTTAGCGATCTGATGTAGAAGTATGGGGAGATTCCCTCAGAAGCTAGCAAGTGGCACAAATCAATTGTAGAAACAGTGCTGAAATGGGAATGAGGAGACAGAAAGTTCTGCACCTAGAAAGTGTGTTGGGATCAGGTGGGAGGGCTAAGGAGGAACAATCCATGGCACAGCACATTGTGCCAAATCATCTGTCAGGAGTAATGTGGATTGTTGAAAGAAACTGTCATGAGTAACATGGCTTATCTTCAGGTGGCAAAGGAACTCACCAATACAATAAAAGCAGGGAAAGCCTATCTGTAGTTTAGCTCCCAGATGAACTGGTAGGCTGATCAACTAACGCTTTAGTGAGTAATAGGTGCGGATTAATTTTATTAGCGGGGTTGAAGTTTAAGGGGACACCTACTTTCAGTATATTTCGGCTCCAGAATGAAAAAATAAATAAATAAAGGGGGACTTTCCCTGGAAGGAGCAATGTTAACATTTGTTTCTCAGACTGTAAATTAATGCATCCCTTTTAATGTATAAAAAGGTCATGGTGAGGTTTCGGCAACATGTAAATGTATTTAAATTTAATTGATCACTTAACTGAATAGCAGGTTAGAAGGTAGGAAATTAGTCAGCTAAAAATTATTTAAACCAATTGACAGCTTTAATAATAATAATTACCTCTAAATATTTATTTCATCTATACATACCATCTCTGCCTTCTGTTTGTACATGCAAGTTTATTTTTAAACTAATGCTCACTTTGAAAAGAACTTGGTTATGTGCTTCTTCAGCCATCATTAATGAACATTTATACTCATTCTAGTTTTTTGGCTATTGTTAAGTGAGCAAAATATAAAATCTTCAAAAACAAAACCTGTTCAATCTGACCATTCTTTTACAACTGAGCACTAAATTATGTGCCCTGCCTTTCCCATCCTTTCCAATCTTTCTATAATTTTAGCAGCATGGTATCACTTAACTTCCTTTTCCTTGTAATCATGCTAACACATTTTGTTTTAAACAGCACTCCACACAAGTTGAAAGATAGTTTCTTCCCTTTGTGATGGTTTCCCATGCTATTTTGATATATTTATCCATGTCAGATTCTTTTTCCAAGTCATTAAAAAGTACTCTGCACAGTCTTCTGAATTCCATCCATTTTAAAAATTGTAATTCCATATAGGTAATGGTGCATTTGCTAGGATATCCACCATAAAATGCTTCTTTTTCATTAAACTAGCTTCTCAAGACATGACTTGTTTATTTTAAGAGTTTGTCAGAATTTTTACATCTTTCCATTTTGTTATCGAATTATACACCCTGTCAATGCATTCTCTCTAACAGTTTTTGGCAACCTTCCCCTAAAGGTCATTGGCAGAGATTCTACTAAGTGTTGTGAAATCAAAGATTCCAATGCCACCCCTAGAGTTGCCAAGCTGTGGTTTTAAAAACATTTGGTCAGTTAGCAGAGACAGAGACAGGACTTTTGCGGTCAAGAGGCCAAGCCTGGTTAGGGCAATATATCCACAGATCTTTGGCAGGATAAGCGGAGGCAGTGGTATATCAGGTTGTGGAATCAATGGGCGGGGAGGAAGCTTTAAGCATTCAGCTCTCAGTTTGAAAAAGCCTGGTTCACTCCCTTAAAGGCAAAAAATACTGAGCCGACAGGTAAAATACTGGACAACTGGCAGTCCTAAACCTTGCACCAATTCATGTGAGTTTTCAGTAAAGATACAGCTCAAAAAATCTGATTAAATCAATTCCAGTACAAGACTGTTCTACCTCAGATTAATTATATAGGTGGAATTCAGCATTTCCATCATGCTGTACTTGACACTTCAAAGTTATAAAATGCTTCTGATTCAGACTTCACCTGTCCTACAACTCTAGCAATGTTCACTATATGTTAAGTTGGCAACCAAAGTTAAGACTCTCTCTATATCTGTATAACCACACTAGAGCATTTTAGAAGAGTGGGCTAAAAGAGTGTGTGAAAAGAGGAGGGGAAACCTTTTGTTTGTAGGTATCATTAAGGTCCCTTCCAATGATGCAAATACAGTTGTGCTATAGATGTATCACATTACAGAATTTGAAAAGAATAATTTGATGATGCCATGCATTACAAGAGTGTACTGTTAGTGATTTGTTAAATTATTAACTCTCCTCCCAGCCTCAGTATTGATTTATAGCTTTAATAATGCAGCTCTCTATAACCATTATAGCTTATAATATGTGAGCAATAGGTAAGTATATCATTGGCAAGAGACAAACTATGCTTTTAAATTAAAATTGATCCCTTTTCTTTTGGTCAGAACGATAATATGAGATAAACAGCAAAATGCAAAACTATGGAAAGTTAGAGGTGTTTAGTTAATTCCAGTGACTGTTATTTTGTCACTAGAATTTTATTTATTGTTGATTGCCTTGCAAGGACCAAGATTTCAGAAAATGAATGCAGCATATTTAAGGTGAAGAATGCTATATAGAGTATTAAAAACAATTAAAAGGTCAGCATCATTATTTGTCTGCAACAAAATAACTGAACTGATGCTAAGCCTGTCAGTGTCGAGTATACGAGCCTGTGGATTTTCATAAACTTAATCTAACCTGGGGGTACAAATATTGATATAGGTAACCAGGAAATTTGCTTACATGGAAATGCGTAGGTCAGCTAGACATCCCAGCTTTGCCCTGAAGCCGCACACCCATGCAATTTCATCTGGATGTCAACTGTGCTTTATCTATGTGTAAACTTTACTTACTGAGTGCTGTCAATCCATTTTAACATTACAGCAGGCCTTTCTAAATAGTACGAGCTCTCCTATGACACTTCATCCAGCTTCCCAAGGAAATTCCAGTAAGGGATAAGGGAAAATCATCACAAGATACTGTTGTAAGGGGGACACTTTCAACAGATAATATTGTTCAGGAAATGGGACTGTTTCAGTGCATTGTCACAAATTGCTCACACTGGGGATTCTTTTAAGAAAACAACTGCAGGAGAATAACAAAGAAATGATAAACTTTTCTTGTTAAAACTGATTACATATAGTTTCTCTAATTTAAATACTGCCATATGAAGCAAACTAGTTTCCACAGTTGTGTTTTAGTATAGAGCAGCTGTAATAAGCAAAGTTACATTAATTGCTCTGCCTTCCAAGCAGATCCATCTGTGCGCAACTAGAGTGAAGGTGGCCTTGCACATTTAAATACTCTTCCACATCAAAAACTCTCCATGCTTATAAAATGGGGTATCTAGAAACAAGTGTTCAACAGTTTTGCCTTGTGCAGCCTAAAATTACTTTAGGCTTTAACATTACAGCCAAAATCTTACTTCGGTTGTGTCAGCCAATATCATAGCTTAATTCCAACTTGCTGAGCATATGTAACTACTTTTATTGTAGGAGATCTTGCCATTCTGCATCAGATCCAAAGAATCTCAGTAGAAGCAGTCAAATACAGTAAGACCAGGTCAACTATTTCAAAACCAGGCACAATTCCCAGTGATCAATAGGCTGAACTCTATATGGTCATTAAAATGGGTAATAGGGAATCATTAAGAACTATGTTCATGGAAGCTGATCTTATGAACACTTACTATATGTAAGTAGAATAAAGTAGTTTGAGGTGTCTACTCATCTTCCTTGTGAACTAATGAGGGAAATGTTGCTGTTTGCTGAAGAGTGAATTATTTCATGAACTTAATTTATAATTCCACTTTCAGGAGTCAAAGATGCATGTGCAAGGTTATGAGGATACCACCTTTATCAATCTAACTAAGGCTTCATTTAGTGTAGCAATCTCTTTCCAGCGATGGCTAGGCAGATGCCGCAGTCCATCTCGTAAGCAGGACCTGATGACTGTTGCTTGTTCCTTGAATAGGGAGCTTCCCATGCCCAAACTAGTAGATGCTGATGGACCTCTCTTCCATGAATCAGCCTAATCCCTTTTAGCAAACTAAGGGAGGGGAAGTAAGCATCTGAAAAATACACGTCATTACCTACGAGCTTAAATTGCTGCAAGAAATCATGAAGTAGAATATGGGGAGAGTGCCTTTTTTCTGATTGCTTTGAATAATCATTCTTTTCACCTGGCAATTGTTTCTGAATCTTTTCCCCATGTCTTTTTCCTTCTGACTTCATCAGGCTGATTGACAGCTTTATTTACGTCCTGGCATTGGAAACGATGAGTTTGTTTTGACAAGTGTTGATCTTTCCTCCCACCCCGTTGCACAATTTTATTGAGTTTCTGCAGCGCCTTTCCTTTCTTGGGTCTTGACAAGCTTTCAAAATTAAACAGATTTAAAAGGAAAAATATACACAAAGCACCTCGCATTTTTAATTGCTCTGCAATAAACAGGATATTTTAATATAACTAAAGTGCCTTTAAATGTGTCATAGGAGCTTTTATTGCAGGTGACTGGGGGCTAGGCAAACATATAGGGTAGATAAACTTGCACTATTAGAGCTTTTCAGAGAAATGTTGCTTTTTTGGTAAATGTATAGGGTGATTTTAGCTGTAAAGTCTATGTAAGTTTTAACATAAAAAGAAGAGTTAGAAGAAACTGCTGAAGATGGAGAGGGGATGGGGAGGAAATTATGGGTGGGGTTAGCCCCTGTTTCTTCTCCATTCAGCTTGGCACCAAACATTTATTATTCTTCCCTGAGTATATTAAGCAATTATGGCAAGTCTGTAGCTGCTCATCCACCATCCACTCCTCAGACTACTCATCTTAGTCTGTGGCATCCAAAATTCATGTGCTCCAGCTATGTGCAGAGATCGGACATCATAACTTTTGGGTTTAGAACAATCGGAGGGAAGGGATCGAGGAAGGTTGAATCTGAAGCACCCTTCCCTCAAATTCAAGTTGTTATCCTTGGTTAGCATGATAGATATTACAACTGGTTAATGTCTGAATAGCATAATAAGCCCTAACAGCAATTTCATAGGAGGTTTTCTCCTTTTTGGCTGTTAGCCACCTGGAATGTTTTTAATTAGGTGGCAAATAAAGGTAGAAATCATATTAAGGATGTCAAATGAAAATAACCAGAGCAATAAAAAGTATTTTTTTAAAAAATCAGGCCAAACCTTAAACATACAAACCAACAAATACCATGTAGGTTGGAATGCTACAGTTGGTTGGGAACCCAATAGGCTCAACCCTGTACCTACAGCATAGGGCTGGTCTGCAAAGCCAGCAGCTTCCTTCCGTTGATGGACAAATGAGGAAGGAATAAGATACTAGATACTATAACACTTGGATGATCTTTTTGCAGAAAGACAGGAAGGGACATTAATTTGCTTCATCCTGCCTTCATCTATGGGACAAAGCATCATTTTCAGAATTTCAGCTCCTGTGTTGCAATTGAATTTGTGGGTTGGGAGTTCCAGTGAGTGTTCCCCATGTCACGCAATGATGTGAAAACCTCAGAGGAGTCTTCTTCCAGTGGTCATCTCAATTTGCTGGCAGTTTTCTACTGAGCTCCTATTAATAGCATTTAATCAAATCTGAGGCACAGCAAAGAACATACTGCAACTAGAAGGAAATTAGGGAGATCTGGCTAACAAAGATTTTGTAAATGCATGTTAGTGTTGATACAGCACTCTGAAGGTGAAAAGAACAGAATACTGAATACTGATTTCTGTGTAAGAATGGGCTCTTTTTCAATCGAAAATGCTGCAGTATCTTGATGTGATATTAATTATACACCTTTACATTTATAATAGGAGCTGTAGAAATTCAATTTGTAGGCTTTGGAAATGTATACTATACGGTCAAGTGAAAAATTATTTAATATTACAGTCTGAGACTTTGACAAAGCACCAAAATCAGAAAAATTCAGACCTGTCTTTTTGGGGTCCCCAGCTGGCAATAGCACCTTTGCATATTTTGCTTTAGCCCAGTTCTAATAAATATTCATTTTATATTTCTAATTACCAACAGCCTTGTAGTTTGTTGCAACATAAACAATAAAGTGTCCTGTGGCACCTTAAAAGCTAACACTTTCATTATGCTATAATATATTTGATAGTTTTTATACTGGCCACAAGAGCCTTTGTTGTCTAAGTGAAAATACATGTAATGCTAAGGAAATGGAAACCCAAGAACTGACTTTCCTGCAGATAAAATTAGTGACTTATTCCCAACCATTAGTAAAATCCAAATTAAACTTCCTTCTTATTTGTATGCCTCAAAGTAGAAATGAAAGCAAACAAATTCAGATGTGAAAATTCAGAGGTATCTTCTCACCATTTCTCAATTCCTATATAGAATGCTTTCTTGCTTTTCTTTCTAGCCCACATTGCATCATCTATACAACATTATGCAGAGTTAGATAAAGACTTCAGTTTAAATGGAAACAGGTGTTGCCTGGAAGCAATGCACCTTTCTAGTAAATATAACAATTTACATAGAAAGCTAATACATGATATCTATGTGCTTGGTTTGGCTAGATTTCTTACTGCTATCACACAAATTAAATACATTAATCCTGAGGAAAGATATAGAGCAGAATTGTAGGCATTCACCAGCAATATGCAGTATATTTACTGAAGCCAAATATCACTTGCAAAATGTTCATGCTCAGCAGAGAAATATTTGAGAAACCCAATACAGTACTAGCTACCTGTTTTAGACAGTTTGCCGGTACTCCTGTTACTCGAGGAGCTGTCTCCTCTTGTCAGAACGGTTATTCCACCAAAACTTGCTGTCTTTGTTATGGCTGGCTTCAAGTTGCGATTGGAACTGTCTGAGTCAGTGCTGCTCCACGGCCTCTGGTGGTCTGTCCATTTCAGTTCATTATCTGTACTGCTTTGCCGACTGCCAGATGCCTTCCCTGTGCTATCTCTGTTACCCCTAAAAAGAACAAAAGGAGACATACAGAACAAGCTATTAGTACAACATTTGCTCTTGCTTAACTAGCTACAAACAGGTGCGTGTTGGAATGGGCATGCATGTGTGTTGTGGGAATGGGGCGAATGAGAGAGTGCACCTGCTGTGCAGGATAAAACTGGGACATTTTCCAAGTCATTTGTGGGTTGCCCCACATGGCTAATGGGTATTGTTCAGTTTAATTGGTCAAACGTTGTGCAGGCCTGATCTGCAGAGGTTAAAATCTGAGTCCTCCATAGAAAGCTAAGGAGATAAGCATTTTTCAGAAAGCTCAGTAACTTCCCACAGGGAAGATAGATAGTTGCGTCTTCTTCACTAGTCCCTACTTGCAATTCTGTTACAGATTAAAAACTTAAAGGCCAGGCCAGTACTGTATGCTACACACACGAATCACTGTGTCAGCAGCTAAGAGCCTGGCAGTGCAAACAGAGAAGCTATGGGTTTCTTGTTTTGTTTTGCTTTGTTTACAGATATTCCTTATATCTCCTTGTTCTTCAATGCATCTCCCAAGGGACCATTAATAGGACTAATTTCAACTTTAAAAAGCCCCTTACATTTGTAATTCAAATTCCATGCATAATAAAAAGATCAGCTTTAAAAAAACATCAACCTGAATGTTACACATCCCTACTTAGCATCTGCAAATTATGCCATTTTAAAACATTTTATGCCATTTTATGATGTTGCCTTTGTGTGTGTGTTTATGCTAATTTGTTACTGCTTTAAATTGTTGTTCACCTCACTGATGACATTTTTAGTGAATAAGGTGGCAAATAAATGTTAATAATAGATATAAATAAAAATTAGAACAAGTAATGATGTTAGAGATGTTTATATAATGTTCAACAAAGGGCTGATGGGGGATTTGTTTTTAACAAAATAAAAAGACACATTAAAATGCATTGGCACATTTCACATATTGTCTAGTTTGACAGGGACGAAACTAGACAATATGTCTGCAAATAAAATTTTGAAGCTTTCAAGTTCCTTTCAAGAGTTCTCATCTGGAACACTTCATGTTCTTCTGTAGCTCTCCCTTCCTCTATATCCCTTCAAATAAGATTTTCACTGTAATCTTAAACCTCTTAATTCTGCTTTGCTATAATTATCTTTTCTTATTAAACTTGGGTGGCTCTTTGCTCTTGCCCTCTTCAGTTACCTGCCTATTTATCCACTTCTCACATAATTACTGAGCTGCGTCCTTCCACGGGCCCTAACACACTCAGTACAGCTTCAGCGAACACTCCCTTGTCTATTCATACACTAACACTTGTGCCAAAGCTACTGGCATTCAAGCATCTATTATTATTTTTCTGATTCCCTTTAATACAGAGGTTATTTTCTTGAATAGGCACAAAGCAATCAGCAAACTATGGGAGATACAAGGTGAATATCAATGGTTCCAAACTATGTACCAAACAGAGAACACGTCGTTATTCCTAAGGTGTTATTCAAAAGCTTCTCCCTTACACTTCAGAGAACAAAACTATAGCCTTTATCTTGTAAGATGGAGGCCCACTAAGTATTATGCTACACTGCACATAACTGAGGTCTACACTTTTGAAAGCATTTCATGTTTTTCCGTGTTATTCTTGAGACACAGAGCAACTTGTCTGAATTGTTTAGACACAATGTATATGTAACTCCATCTACTCAGAATGGGATCTTTCATTTAAAAATCAATTGTACCTGTTGTCATGTCTCATATTTATTGCTGTCACAGACACAGAACAAGTTTAGGAAAATGTTTCTTAATTTTAGGGGATGATGATGTATCTCAAACCAGTAAAGACAAGCACATATGATTCACAAAGTTCCATCACTGTATTTTAAATACACAGGCAACTGAGGGTAGCAAATGTTGAACAACAGTAAATTAGGCAAATATTCTTCCCTGTGAACTCTCATGAAGAGAGTGCAGGTGAGGGCATGGACAACCGAAAGGTATCATTTTATGGTTTGTTATTATGCATTAATTTGAACATTTCAACTGAGTAATTTATAAAAGCTAAAAACATAAACATGGACACAGGCAAAATTAAAAGAGCACAAATTGTGAGCTGGTCAACTTACCATCCCAGCAAAAGATAATGAAATTTCATGACACCATTGTTAAACTCCATAAATACATATTAAATCAAACCATCTTCTTTCTTTTGTTTATCCAAGACATGTAGGATAAACTCAAACACGCATGAGCGTAATATTTATAGACTAATACCATGCAAATTGTATGCACCATATTTTCTTGCACAGCTATGGAACTCTTTTGTCTTTGCCAACTTAGTCAATTCCAATCTTGAGCCTCTTCTACAAGTTATTATGAGTTATTCTGTAAGTGGAGATAAAGTTAATTGTGGTCTGGTAATTTGGGATCTTCAGAAGCTTATCTTGATGGTTTCAAAGCTATAATTGCAGGGTATTTTTTTATTTCTGTCAATGTCACTTTGGGTGTAGGATATGGAACTTACCAATGCAACATTGCAAACATATAATTAATTAATTGTTCATACCTGAAGAGCTGTCTTTTCTTAACAGTTTCATTGCATATGCTATCCTCTAGGAGCCTAGTGAAAATGAAGAAGAAAAAAATAAGTGTAAAAAATACATTTTAGAACTTAAAAATTTATAAGATTCATTTTGCATTTACAAAAATAAGGAAAGATATGAAACAACATTTACAGTTTAACAGTGTAAATACAGCTTCATATTTCAGCAGTAATATTGTTTTGGAATAAAGGTGCTAGTTCACACATCCCACTAAGCCATCCAGGGAATAAGCCATAGCGTGTTGGTTGTTCACAGAAGATCTTATGGTATAGGCCAGAGAAAGTAAGGCTTCTCATGCTTTATTTTCCTTCTCCTTCCCTCTTAGTCTTCCAGCTGATTCTGGTATGTGCCCCAGAGGACTTTATGGCAAAATCCATCTAGTTACCTTGTTCCACCTCTCCTTGCTGCAACTGCTCTGGAACCCAGCTTTTTAAAAAAACACCAGTGCCACAAAATTGTAAAATGGGATATTATTTTTTTAAAATTATTTTTGTTAGTTTTTCATAGGAAAGAAAGTGCACTGATGAAAAATCTACCAGCTAATCTGTACACAGTCTTGCAGGATCGGGGGACAAACCACAGAAAGAGAGAGAAGGGACCTTGTAATATAAGTCAGAAGCCGCAAAAATGGAGAGTGGGAACTAAATGAGTAACTGGGTCAAAAGGGTAAAAAATATCCCTTCCTTTCCAGTGTAATTCTCTCTCTGCTAAATTTCCTTCACTTTCAACACTTCCCCAACTGTCTAGCCAGGGGAAGCACTAACTCTTCATTTTTGTGGTTCTTTTTCATAGACTGGCCCCTGATTGTATGTGTGCATGGGACCCTGAATTGTGGGCAAGGAATGACAGTGTATCCTTTTAAAATGATTTTATTGAAATAAATTGTTTTGTAGCCCACTTTCCAGCTAAAAACTGGCAATCAGGGATTTAAGCAACAATAACAACCCACTACCATGACCACAGGAATTAAAAGGCAGCATTTTTTTTAAAGAAAAACTCATTTAAAAATGTAAGAAAACCGAAACGTTAAAATGCAGTTTAAACAAACAATAGCAGAATAGAACAGCATCCAATTGTATAATTCTATGCTGAAATACATTCTTCTTTTATGATAGAAAGAACATTCAATGGAGAGGATCTCCCGGTAATGTGACACAAAAGTAGGCTCTGGTGAGTTTGAGACTCAGGGGTCAATCCTATGCTGTGCATTTGTGATGGACACACGATCCCGAACTCAGAAGATTGCACAAACTCTGTGCTCAGAACAAGGCAAGGGGATCACATTTGCCAATGTGCCTCCCAGTGCAGAGTTGATCTAGACCCTTGAGGGAGTCTGGAACACGAACATGAAGCGGCGCAGCTGCTTGGCTCCAGATCCTTCCTCTACACAGTCCAGTATGCCCCATTTCTCCACTTCAAGGCCCTGTTGCATCCTTAGGGCAATTCTTTCCATGCCAGCCATAAGCAGCAGGGGCTCAGCTTTCACAGTATCAGATCGTGGTATCTCATAACTGGGACTCTGGCTAATCCTGCAGCATCCCAGATGATCCTGGGAGGCTATAGGATGGTGCTTTTATGAACTTTTCCCGCAAGTGAAAAACATTCATGTACCAGAGAAAAGAAAGCACAGGTATTCCTCTGGAATTCAGGGTATTCACTGGGTGGCCACCATATTTGGCATAAAGTACCATTAAGAGCAATAGAGCAGAAAATACCCAGTTCAGAGCCACAGGGCTGCCTTGTAAGACTGGTTATTGATTAGTGAGAAGGGAAAAGTGCCATTTAGATTTTCCACCTCAAACACTCGGATCAGAGTTGGATATTCAGTTACACATGCTAACATCTCTCCGGTATAAGGAAATAATCAAATGAATGCCATATTTAATACATTTAGGATGCAATCCAATGCATGTATAGCCAGAAAAAAAGACCTACAACTAGTTCGTTGCAGTACACTGAGCCTGTAGAAGGAGTTCTTTTGGTGCAAAAATATGCATAGGATTGTGCTGCTAAGAGATGAGTAGCTTGCTAGTATCCTACCACTTTTTTACCTGATTTTAATAACCTTTTACCCTTAAACTGAAGGATTTGATTCTGAAATTCTGTTAAATAAATAAAAACATCTGTAAGATAGTACGTTCTTACCTTTTCTGTTAATTATTTTGCATTGATACATGTTCAGTTCACATCTCAGTTCACAAACGATTGTCTTCAAACAGAATTACAGTACAAATTATAAGTTATAAAAAGATATGATCTGTATATTTTACCTGTTATCCACAAAAAGGTTTTCTTGGGAGCAAACTGACTGAAAAACAGAAGCAAAATAATGGTATTTAATGCTCATGGTAACGTTCAACAATCCCAGTTCCCTCCATTGAAAGCAAAATCAGTTTCCACACTCAGGCTAAGCTTGCATTTCATGCATCACTGAGACCAGGAATGCTAAGGACATTTGTTAACAAGGAATTGACCCTAGCTGAAGAAGAGGGCAGATGAATATATGTTTTTTGAGAAGAAATGTGTGGGTGCTTTTATGGTATAGAGTACTCTTATCAGATTTACTGGTACAAAGCAAGGGCCTGAAAACAAAAAATAGTTAGTTGTACTTAAACCCCTTTGAAATCAATGGCACAAGTAAGTTCTAATGAACTTATCAATTTCAGTGTTTCATATAATTAACTTCTCTGGCACTGAGGCCAAGCAGTAGATGGAAAAAGAAAATGGAATCAAAAATAGCAGAACTGGCAAGAGTGCGTAAAGCTGAAGCAGGAAAAAACTTAAGTCCTCCATGACTTATTATAAATTATAAGCAATCAAAATAATTAACTAAAATGAATTGTTTTGTCCTATATGAAAAGAAGTTTGAAAAAGAAAAAAGTTCCAGTCACAAGAATATATCGCTTTAGCATTGATTTTTTAAATGTAGATTAATGAGTCTATGTTCATTAAGCCATGAATAATTCTAATTTTCTTTGTATTTTTCTTCTGTTTCATGTTCATGAAGACTGCAGTAGATACTTTTAGGAGGACACCCCCCACAGCTGAGTTTCATTGAAACTGAACAAAAGATGAGGAGCTGAGAGAGAGAGAATCATGAAATCAATCAGGTTAATTGCTTCCAGAAGCATGGAATTAAGAGAGTAACAAAATAGCATTACCAGGCATATCAAATTCCAGTAAGAAAAAACTTTATTTATTTTATACATTCCCATTTTTGACAGCATGAACAGAAAGAGGCTTCTTGAAATACTGGTGAACTATAGAGCACATCCATGTTCATAGTTTCCTAATGAAATATATTAGGTTGAGGCATTTGACTAAGTCCTTGGCTGAAGCTAAAGAAGCTGTGACCATTGACGCTAAAAGATGTTAGTGCATTTGCCAAACTGCCGGAGTGGGTGGTAGTCCCAGAAGTGATCCATTCCAGTCAGGTTTCTGATGTGGTTCTGGAATGGAAATAACCCAGGTTGCCCTAGTTGATGACTTATACTGGGAAATAGCTGGGAAGTGAGCAGCTGCTGGTTCTTGTAGACCTCTTGAATGCATTCATTTAAGAGGCTCAGTTCCATTAAAGTGGTGCTGGGGAGAGGTGATGGCCATTGGTCTGTGATGTTTCCCAAGGGGAAACTCATCCAGATATTTGGGCTGAGGTGACCCTAGCATGCAGATGAGACAGATCTTGATTTCACATTTCTATCTATCAGGGAGAGTGTAGAATTCTTGAACTGCTGTTTGGAGGCTGATTTGGGTAAACAAGCTGAAACTTAATTCGGACTAGGTGGATATGTTTTGGGAGACCAACTGTGTAGAATGGAGATTTATAGCTGGTCTTAGATGAGGTTGCACTTTCTGTAAAAGATCAATCTGGGAGTCTTCCTGGACCCTGTGCTAAGTGGGGAAGCCCAGGCAACTGCAGTATCCTGGAATGCCTTTTCCCAGTTTAGACTGGGAGCCAGCTTCAGCCCTATCGAGAAAGGATGGGTGTCATCTTGATTATTCATGCACTACCAATGTCCTGGCTGGACTACAATAATACACTGCACATAAGGATGCCTTTGAACATGGTCCAAAATGAGACTGCCAGAGTGTTGGTGTGATTTTTAGGACCGAAGTACCTCATGTATTCCCTTCACCCAATACTAGCCTGTCCACATTTCAAAATTTTGAAGGAAGTCAGGCTGGTGGACACATAAGAGAGGGCCTTTTCCACAGCAACCCCACACTGCGGGAATAACTTGCCAGCAAGAGTCACCAGGCACCAGCATTTAGGCTCTCAAGAAGCCTCAATAACTTGTTTATTCTGGCTTTCCCTGATTACATTTATTGGACTGAGTTGTGGTTGCAATGTAGCTGAGTTGTGAATTATGTCTTATGCTAGTGTTTGTTGGTCCTTGCAACATTTTCAGTTTTCATCACCACTTTTTTATTTTATGAATTTTGTTGCAGTATACTACCTTTGGAAGACTCTTGGCCTGAAAAGCAGCCTAAATATATTTAAATTAAACTAAACAAATGCATTTATAAACTCACTAGGAATGATCCCAACTCACAGCATTGTAATATTAGGTGTTCGACTGACAGAATATTGTATGTGCCTGATATATGCAAACTTTCATTTGCTATTTAATATTTATGGTACAAATTCCATGTACAATTTCCTGCAGCATGTGAACTACAGTGGTAGGATTAAGTAATGTCAGTTCAGGGGACATGTGTTGCACCTTCAGGATACACTGCTCAGAGCGTGAAAGGAATAACAAGTATGTTTGTAGTCTTATAATCCGTTCTCTTTTGCATCGTCTCACTATTTACTTATCTTAAGCAGTCAATTTTGTTAATTAAACAATCTGCCTCTCTTTTCCACGACACCACACAAAAGTTTTAAATGTTTGTCTCTGTAACAACAATAATACATTCTCTTTTCTTGATAGCAATCATTTTCAAAGGGGTCATGATTTTTTTTTTGTTTTCAATGAGTTGGGTTTTCCCCCTTATTGTACATGCTGGATATTGGCATTATGGGACTGAATCCAGATTTATGTTAGATCAACTTCCCTGATGAAAGTGAATTCCCTGGCCCTTCTTCCCATGGCAGCCCTCCAACTCTCTGAAAGAATTACACAGAGATCTGACTTGGATGACATGACTTTCTGGATTAATTAACCCCTGAGGGCCCACAACACAACATATGCAACTCCCAACTGTTGTGCCATGCAGACCCAGCAAAGAAGGGTTATTCAAGGGTCAAATTACTGTCACATAATCCATAACTTGTTCTAAATTAGACACAACATAAACACAGCCTCCCGCTGCTAACTGCATTTTCATACTGATGGATGGCACTCCTTGTGGCCCCTGGAGGGCTTTTGCAACATCTGAACTGGCTCACTGCATTAGGAGACCCTGCTGAGTGGGGTGAGCTATCCATACATCAGGCAGAGGAAGCCCCTTGCAGAAGATTGCCTTCCCTTGTGGAAGGCAGATGCCAGAACTAGCCTGTGAGGTTTGGTGAAATCTGTGTGAGAGCAGACTACAAATGTTGAGATGTGCGTCCAAAGGCCAAGCTTGTTCCCTTTTAGCAGTGGGCAACGAGGGGATAACTGACGAAAACTGCGACAGGAAGGTAAATAAACACTAAGGAGTTATATCTTATTAAAAAGCATGAGATATCTGTTACCTCTTCAGTATCTTGAAGGGTATCAGTGTAATCAGCATTACAGCCTTATGGATACACTCAATAATAGCTCCGTTCAATCTTCCATGCTGCAGAAGCTGGCACAAGGCCATGCCATCTCCTGGAATATCCATTTCTCAGTGCTGATGTGGGTCTCCATGGCACAGAAGACAGACACATTTTATTACATTACACTTGTTATTTAAAAAAGAAAAGGAAAGAGCCAAGCAGCTTTAGGGGAAGCAAGGTGCCTATTATCATGTTGAGATTCACTTTGCCCTTTCATATACAATGCTCCATTTACTTAATGTTCATGCTATCATAGCATAGCAATTGCTGACATACTTTTGAATTTCTCACTTGCCCGCCAGTCACAAATTTAAGGGAATGTAGGACAAAAAGCTGAATATATTTATGCATAAATGCATTTGTTTAAGAGCCTACTGAACAATTCATACATGCTTAAAACATCCTATGGGAAGCCTTTTCTTCTGACACTGATTCTCCATCTTAGTACTATTGTATGATGATTTTTAACATGTGAACTAGATATAAGGATTCTACCCTTAGAAGAGAACTAAAAATAATTTAAAATCATAGAAATAATGGGCTGGATGTAGATTTAAACTGGACCAACAGAAAAGGTCCTCCTTGCATGCTCCTTCCCTTGGCAGCCCCTCCAGGCCATGCAGAAGTCTGATGAACAGGGCGTCCTGTGGTGTGTGGCGGAGGGAAGGTTCCCCAAAACTGGGCAGAAGGATTCTCTGTGAACAGGTTCCTTTCTCCTACAGAAAAGCAACTCTTGGATCCAACTCTGTATCATCAAATACCTTCTTTAAGCTAAATCATAGCAAAGCACCAACAGCTAAATAAATAATTTATTGCTATTTAATAACTATTTAAATAAATATGTGTGTAGAAAAAAAATGCAAGGAATTATGTGGACGACAGCAAGGCTTGAAAGATAATGCACTTGATTTGGACCTGGAGTTAAGCCAGGGACTTGTTGGTTTGCTTTAAGTGTTCTGTGGATATACATTGTTAATGTCTGAATTGACAACCTGCAATCACTGAAACTGAAAAGACAATAATAAAATAGTCTGTATGTATAGACAATGGGTTGTATCCAAACTTAGCTGCACTTAGGTCCTACTGAAATCAATGCAGCAAATCAGTCATGGCTTAGCTTCCCATTGATTTCAGTGGGAACAAAGTGCAAACTACTTTAGATGGTATCCAGAAGCGGATTGTTCTAGCGCTGGAAGGACACTGCTTGGAAAGGAGGGTTCCCCCTTTCCTTTTCTCATTTCTTGCAGCATCTCCAAATCTACTCCAGGGAGTCCTCCGAATTCCTCCTTTTAGATAAGGTATATATGCAGCAAAACAAAACCAGGGCCACCTATATCACCCCAGCAAAAGGCAAAGAGGATTCTCAGACAGGTATATTTCCAGGTAAGGTGCAGGGTGTCAAGAATATTTCGTGGCTCAGCCCAATTTTAGAAGGCTGGGAGTCAAATCTAATTTATTCTGAATATATTGCAATGCATGGAATGTATCTCTCTCTCTCTTACCAGCAGTGAAGGAATGCTGATGATAACTCCATTTAAAAACTTTATTTTTTGCAGTGTTAG